TCTTGGACGAGGGCAACCGGGAGGCCTTAGCAACTTTCCCGCCTAACCGCCCCCTTCTCCCGCCACCGGTCTCTCTGGGAGCTCAGCGGGGCTGGGAGAAATGGGTACACAGCCTGACGAACGAGAACGGGATGGGAGCCGGGGTCGCCTAGCCCCGGACTCCTAGATGGATGCCCGGAAGTAAAATGGAAGTTGCAGAAACGGGGCCGACACTTGTTTCCTGTGACCTTCTGCGGCCTCTCATAGGCCGTGGGCCCGTGTGACTGCGGAAGCGACGCTTCGAGAGAGCCTGGCGTTCCTGTGGGTGGCCATCCCTCTAAGCTGCTCCTTCCCAGTCCACGCCTGCTTTCTTCCCAGGCTTCCTCACATCAGGCTTCAAGGCCGCTCTCGAATGTTACCAAAGTCTTAAGGAAACAGAGCTATAGGGCAGCAAAGGTATACATGACCTCTTAAATATAGCAACATACCACCCTCTTCTCCCTTAATAACAAAGTGGGTCAAATGCAATTGCAGGATAAACAAAATGTATTTCTCACTGGAGAACATCTTGGCAAGGATGGATGTATCTGAAAAGTCCCTGCGAAGCGATTAGCTATGCTCATGGACTGCTGGAAGAGTGAACAAACCTGTTTTGGAAGAAGTGCCAGCAGAATGTGCCTTAGCTGGTGAGACTGACGTACTTGGGCATGTTGTTAGCAGCGACTGGTGTCTGGAGAAGGTCGGAGAACAAGCAAACCCGCAGGGAGGAGGATTGACACCGGGACTAGAGCAAAGGACGCCGAACAGCAACACCTGTGAGGATGGCGCAGGACCAGTGTTCAGTTCATGGCGTCAGGATTGGTACACGGCCCCCAACAGCTGTGTCAGCCAGATGGAAATTTCAGTTCCCCCGATTGACGAGCTAATGTATGTGATTCAGAGTTGAAAGTGTCCAGATTTCCCATTATTTCTGGGAAACTTCACTTGTGATTATTAAATCTATTCACTATCCTTCTTAGTATTTCTCAGTGATATATGTGGTTCTTTGATAAGGGCCTGCACACTTTTAGTTCTTACATGAATTTATATTACATTCACTAGACTATAAACTCCAAAGGAGCCCATCCTCTCATGTACAGACAACTTTACCCCAACCCTGACACAGGGAACACTTGACTGAACCTAGCTGAATATTTTTTTTTTTTCCTAGCTGAATATTTGAAGAAAAAATTTTAAGTTAAAAAAAAAGAGGAAATTTTAATGAGTTTTCCATGTATGTATTTGACCCAAGCATTTTTTTAGACTGTTAATAATTTATTAATAAACTGCAGATGCAAAGCTGACATGATTTAATACTAAGAATTAAGTGACAACAAAAACTAACAATTTCACTGCCATCGAATTCTATGGAGAGAGTACAGCCACCCCTGTGAGTTTCCCTGTCTGTAAATCTTTATGGGAGCAGAAAGCCTTGTCGTTTTCCTGTGGAGCAGTTGGTGTGTTCAAATTGTTGACCTTTTGGTTAGCAGCCCAAAGCAGAATACTTCATGCTACCAAGGAAACCACCTAGGTACTCTCATCCACAGAGGACAGGCTAAGTAAGGTGTCGTCCATGCAGTGGAATAAAGAACAATCATGAAGGGGGGAAATGAGTTGCTGATACCAAGGGCTCAAGTAGAAAGACAATATTTTGAGAATGATGATTACAAAAAATGTACAAATGTGCTTGACACAATGGATGGATGGATGGACTGTGCTAAGAGTTGTACAATCCTCCAATAAAATGATTTTAAAAAAACCCAACAATCATGATTCCACAGCACATCTCACAGATGGGCCCTAGATGTAATGCTAAGTGAGATAAGTCAACCACATAAGGATAAATATTACATGATCCTATGCACACATAGATCTAAAAAAAACCAACCAAAGAACACAAACTCATTGCCATCAAGTCGATTCCAACTCATAGCAACCCTATAGGACTGGGCAGAACTGCCCCTATGGGCTTCTGAGGCTGTAATTCTTTACAGGAATAGAAAATCTTATCTTTCTCCTGCAGAGCAGCTGGTGTTTCAACCTGCTGACCATGAAGTATGTAGCCCACCTATTCATTGGTGGCTATCAGGGAGGGGAAGAGGGAGTGTCACACTTGAGCTCAGTGTTTCCCAACATGAGCAAGGCTACCCCTGGGAGGGGGCTGCACTGGAAGGATCCAGTAGGGCTGCAAAAACACAGCTTCACTTTATCCTGAGCTGTGGCTATAGCACAAAGGGGCGCTGAGTTAAACTCACAAACAAAACTTCTGGAATGGGGTGGTAGGTAAAATGTATTTGGAAACCTATCCTCTCAATCAGGAGTCAGCAAACTTTTGAGACAGAAGAACCAATCCTGTCCCCCACAACCATTTAAAAATTATTCGAGAGGCTTATGTCTATTTTTACCAACTGTGAAATCACCATTATCTGAATATCCCTTAAATTTTTTCACTTTTACTTCAACGCCACATGTATGTGCCCAAAGAGCCCACTGTACACATGGCTTCCCAGTCGCAGTTTGCTCATCCCTGTTTTAGATCATAAGTACTTTTTATTTTGGGTGATAAGAATGTGTTGTCAGCACAGCTTGATCAAAGTCAATCATGTTGCTCCGAAATGCTCAAGAGAAAAAGATGTTTTGTATTCAAGAATTTGACATAATTTGCAACTCCAACAAAGACTAAGAAAACAGTGTATCGTCACGCATGTATGTGCACTGGCGTAGAGATATATGAGTAGGTACTGATGGACAGAATAGGGGTTTCTGCCTCCCAAGGGAATGGATTGTCTATGGCTCTTGTAGCCAAAGTCTATAGCTCCCACCAAATGATCTTTCCCTGCATAGATCTGGTAAGAGAGTAGGGAAAGTATTGATAGGATTTGTAATTGTGAACAAGATTTCCTAGGGTGGTATCCTGCTGTGTATGAAAGCCCTCTGAGAAGCAGGAGAAGGGGCCTCATTACCTGTAAGAGCCGGGAGTGGAGCATCCTCTGGACCTGAGTTCCCTGTGCAGAGACCTCTTGGATCCAGAAGACGGCTGTTCCATCAGATGAGCAGTAGCAGAACCAGGAGTCAGAGCATGGGACAGAGTGATGGACTTCCCAACCCACAGAGTAAGTAAAGGTGAGTGCTTGTGTACTGGAGGCCAGCTTGCAGAGTGGAGTGCCTCTGGGCACTTAATTGGGGAAGTTGGACTGGCAGACCTACAGAACTTAAGCTGAATGCCTTCTGGTTGAGGTTTATGAGTGGTATGCCCTTTGGGAATTTTTTAGCGAACTTGAGAGAACTTTATAACATGTCCTGGTAAACAACTCAACCCTGAGCATTTCTCACTGGCATTACAACTTACTAACTTTCTTAATAAACCCTTTCATCATGAACCTTGTCTATGAGTGTCTGTCTAGTCATTGCCATGGATATTAGAACACATAGAGGTCAAATTGAGAGCATTAGTTAAGGCATCACACCCTCTGCTCTCGAGAAATGAATATTCTGCTTGTTAAGGAAGGAGAATTCTACAAGCTAGGAAAATGAACAACGAGCTAACATATGTCTCAGACTGAGTGGACATCCTAAATCGTCTCACCCAGATTTACAGCTCATGAGAAGATCACAGACATTCTGATGAAGAACTGTCAGCTAAGATAAATTAGAATTTGGTAACTTAATAGAAAGTATCCTGACCATCAGTGAAGCAGCAATCCCTCTCCCTGTTAAAACCCAAGATCCAAACTCACTGCCATCATTTCTGTGCCGACTCCTAGTGACCCTACAGAACAAGAACTGCCCCTGTGAATTTCCAAGACTATGCTTCTTATGAAAATAGAACGTCTCATCTTCTTCCCTTGGAGCAGCTGTTGGTTTCGAACTGCTGACCTTGCAGTTCACCTAGCAGTAGGCGAGCAGAGCATTTTGAAAGTACCCTTAAAAAAAACCTAGAAGTGTGATGTATATATGGATTGTGATGAGTTGTATGATCCCCTAATAAAATGATCAAAAAAAACCTTAGTAAAAAAATTAATAATGTATTGTTTTCCTAAAGGATTCACTGTAAGTTCTTCCCACAAAAGTTCATAAATGATAAAATAATGAAAATAAATGATAAAATAATGAACAGCAACAACAAAAACCCTATTAGTATTCCCTGGCCTAGACAAAGTCCTCCTCTCTTACCGTGCTAGGGGGACCGGCTTCATCTTATTTTGAAGTAACCATATGCTTAAATCAACTTTGGCTTAACTCTTTTCTGCTTTGTGTATGGACGCAGCACGCACTGGAGTATAGCTTGTCCTTGGCCTGTTACAAATCACATGGGGGTGGAGCTTGCTGGTTCCCCTGTGGATGACAACCCGGTGCTGAAAAGTCAGACCTGGCATTCCTCTGTCGGACTGAACATCCCAGGTACCAAAGTCAAACCAAACCCATGGCCACATAGTCAACTCTGACTCCTGGTGTCCCTACGTAGGCTTTGCAAGTGTATTGGAGAGGCAGCATCTTTTTTTTTCATAGAGCAGCTGGTGGGTTTGAGCTACTAACCTTGCAGTTAGCAGTCTATCACTAACCCAAAAGTGCCACCAGGGCTCCTTATGGGTAGGTACAGATGTATACATATGTGTGCACAAAAGCAGTATATGAACCTGTAAGTACAGATGTGTGTGCAGGTACATCTATTCACAAAAGTTACAACTACAGATACACTTCATAAATAATCACACACCTTGGAAGATTAGTTTTGTAGGTTTGCAGGCCTAGGACCTTAGTCTTCTGAGATAACAATGTCAATTGGTATACAGTAGTTCACAAGTTCATGTTCTGCATCTTAGTGACATAAGTAAGTAGTATCTGGGGTCTTAAAAGTTGTGATTGGTCATCTAAAATATAACTGTTGGTCTCAAATATTTGCCAGGAACAAAAGAGTAAGAAAAATAAAAATCTCAGAGGAAAAAAAGATCTACAAGGCTAATAGTTTACCCAAACCATAACCTGAGCTACTTTGAGACCGGAAGAACTAGTTGGTGCCAGGCTACGACTTATCAACTACTCTCACCGGGATTACCATAGATGATCCCTGATAGAATGGGAGAATGTTACTCTGAGATGTTCTTTAAACTTTGACCCCAAATTATGCATTTCTAGTGAAATGACAAAGTATCACACAAATATAAGGATACTACCTGTACATACAGGTCCACTAAAGCCTATCTCTCTGAAGTCAAAAGATCATCATGTATTCCAAAGCAGGGATGAGAAGACAAGGAGGCCTGGGAACCAGAACTTAGGAAATGGAGCAGCCAGAACACAGGAAGAGAGTGTTGACATACTGTGAAAAACTTCACTAATGTCACTGAATAATTTGCATAGGAATTGTCAACTAGGAACCCAATTTACTGTGTGAATGTTCACCAGAGCCACAAACAAATATTTTAAAAAATAAGTGAAATAAACCTAAAATTCAGTCTCTGGGAGGAAGGTTAAACATCAAATTTAAGTTCACCACTATCAAGTCGATCCTGACTCATAGCGACCCTGTAGAACAGAACAAATCTGCCCCTGTGGGTTTCCAAGACTAAACTTTTGCAGGAACAGAAAGCCACCTCTTCCTTCCACGGTGACTGGTGGTTTCAAACTGCTGACCTTGAGGTTAGAAGCCCAATGCATAACCCACAAGGACACTGAGGCTCCAGGGATTAAGGTTAGAGGCAGTACATTTGTTCCCCTTTCTGCTGCACACAGTAAATAACATTTAACAGTAACAGAAATATCAAAAGGTTAAAAATAAAAATAAACACTGCTGTTGACTCATGGTGACCCTATAAGAGAGAGTAGAACTGCTCCGGAGGGTTTCCAAGACTGTCCATCTTTATGGTTCCGAGGAGAGGCTGGTGGGCTTAGACCATGGCCCAACCCTCAGCCCACTGGGCCACCACAGCTCTTTAAACATTAATAATGGTTGAACTCAAAAACAAGAGAAACAGCAAATGAAATGCTGAGAAAGTAAGCAGGATGAAGCTGAGATCGGGTGCTTGTGAGCTGGCTGTGGGTAGCAGGCGCTACAAGTGTGTCACAGGAGAGAGGGCTGCCGGCAACCTTCCTTCCCCCTGAAGGAGTAGCCGTCATGCAGCCACCTCGCCTTGGACTTCAGTTGGACAGGAAACTGCAAACCGAGGGAGGCACAGGAGAGCAGACCCACCAGGCGGCTGGAAGGGTGGCACACCAAATTCCAATAACTATGCACACATATAACTCTTAACATTTTGCCAAATTAAAAATGAGATCAAGAATTCCATCCCAAAGTAACTATTTTACAGTTTCCAAACAAGTACTTTGATACTTAGCCATAAGCGAACAGCTCACAGGATTGATTTTCTGGGTTGGAAGGCTTATAGATATGGGTCAACTTAATTGGTGTAAAATGTATAGTTTATGTTCTACACCCTAGTTTGATGAGTAGTGTCTGGGGTCTGGAAACTGGTGAGCAGCTGTCTAAGAGACTACTGTTGGAGCAGAAGACCGAGAGAGAGAAAGCAAAGAGCCAAGGAAGAAATTAGTCTACAGTACTACTAGCCTACCCCAACCATGGCTTCCTCTGGCCTGAGGTCAGAATTCAATGTTGCCTAACTCCCACTACTGCTCAGGAACAGAAGAGGCCCTGTTAGAATGGGAGTGGAATGTAGAACAAGACTCAAATTCTTCAAAAGGCCAGACTTACTGGATTGTTTGAGACTAGAGGAACCCCCAAGACGATGGCCCTGACATCACCTTCAGACTTGGAACTGAAACCACTCTCAGGAGCTACCTTTCAGCTAATGAATAGATGGACGCAATACACTAAAAATAAAGAGATGCTTGGAAATTGTATTCTTGTACCTCAAAAAGTTTAAAATCCTGTGAGAAATGGACACATTTCTAGAAACACACTATTGTCCTTAAACTAACACCAATAGAAGAAGAACATCTAAACAAACCTATTTAAACAAACAAAACGCAGACTGAAACTGCATTGATAAAAAAAACGTAAAACAACAATGCCGGCGAGTTTACAGAGGGGCTGAACATCTTAGACACGGTGGGATTATGGAATAGTACAGTCACTGTGGAAAACAATGTGACAGTTCCTCAGAAAGCTCCAGCAGATGTGCTGTATGATAGAGAAGGGGGTTAGCATTCCTCTCGACAAGGATGGAAGAGGCCCTCGGGCCTTACAGCACACATATGGTTAAAGCCTTGCCACCTTCTTTGTGACATCTAACCATATATATTTTTTTCTCTTACCACTGCAACGGCAGGATGACACCCTTCTATCTTTTTTAGGAGCTCTTGTGGCTTCGTGGATAGTTGTTGGGCTGCTAATTGCAAGGTCAGCAGTTCGAAACCACCAGCTACCCCAATGGAGACACATAAGGCTATCTAATTCTATATAGCGTTACATTCTCAGAAACCTACAAGGGCAGGTCTAACGTGCTATAGAGTCACTCTGAGTCAGAAATCAACTCAATGGCAATGAGTTTTTTTAAAAAGCTAGAAAAAAAACCTATGATCCAGCAATTCCACTCCTAAGACTATATCCTAGAGATGCAATAATGACATAAATAGACATCTGTGGGAACAGGTTGTCTTCAGATATGCTCTGTTGTTTGGAATTCCCAGGCTTCTGAGTGACCGAGTACATTATAGGACGGTCTGCAACTCATTTCCTTTCTCAAGTAAGACAGGAGTGTCGACATAATTCATGATTTAATAGGCCGTGGGAAGAAGCTGTCAGTTCTTCCCAGGGAACTCTGACTCTGAAAAGTCTCATCTTCAACTAAGATAAAGTAAATGCTTTCTCTCCCGTTCCTTGGTAAATGGCTGAAACACAGCGTTCTACAGGTGTTTTTATATCCCCCTCCAGACCATACTCATTGGCTAAAGATACTCTTGCTTGATTGCCTCCAGAGAAATGGTCAACAATCCATTTGTGTGAGAACTTGTCACAGACTGCAGGATCGGTGACAAGAACTGTCTATAAACCTGCCTCAAATAAAGTTCTGGGCCCTGGAGTGTCTAGAGCTGCAGGAGTCCCCTACGCCCTCACCTGTCCTGTCTCTTTATCTTATCTCTTATCTTTCTTAATTATACACATGTCTCACAGACATATGTACACCTATAGTCACTGCAGCATGATTCACAATAGCAAAAAGGTGAAACTAGCTCTTCATCACCAGATGAACAGTTAAAGGGTGGTACATAGAAACAATGGAATACTATGAAGCTACAAAGAATAAGGGGTGCATGAACACCTCATGACATGGATGAATCTAGAAGATATTATGCTAAGTGAAATAGGTCAATCCCAAAATGAGAAATACTGTATGGTTGCACCTTTATAAAAAGCTGAGTATACATACAGAAACCAACATTCTTTGATTGTTACCAGGGAGGGAGCAATGGGAAGGGACTGGCTTTCTAGATAGTAACTTCCTGCCATTGAGTCGACTCTGACTCATAGCCACCCAACAGGACGGAGTATGGGTTCCCAGGACTTTATTTACAGGAGCAGAAAGGACATCTTTCTCCAAAGGAAGTGGCTGGTGGATCCAAAATGCTGACCTGTGGGTAACCCACTCCGCTGCCAGGGCTCCTTTCCGAGAGAAGACAATTGTCATTTTGGTGACTGGAAAGATGATACCTAGTAGGAGTGAAGTCTGTCCAACGAAATGAAGACAACAGGAAGTCCGGGTGATGTCTATGCACATCAGTTTAAAAGCGACATAACCGTGGAAGTGCCTGATATGTGAGTACTGTATCAAGAAAACTAATGAGAAAAAACAAAACAGAAAGAAGCCAAATGCCCAATGGTGACCATGGGTGAAGGAGAAAGAGTTGTTGCTCAGAGGACATTGAGCTTATGCTAATGGTGGTGAAATAATTTGGAAAAGGTTATCAATAATGGTTGTACAACATGAAGAGTATAGTCAATGGGACTGAATTGGAGAATGTTTTGTGTATATTTTTGCCACAAGTAGAAAAAAAATTACATGAATAACAATGAGTACAAGGAAGAAGAAAATATTCTAGAATTGAATGTGGTGATGATTGTACAACTCTTCTTGATATGATTGAATTGTATGATGTGGATGAAGTGCTAATAAAACTTTTAAAAAGTATGCAAAAACTGGGCTGACTTTGGTAAATGCTATAACATACAATTTTACAAAGAGTAATTATAACCAAAAAAGCTAGTGGTTATTACATTAAGTAGATATGTAAACATATGTTAAGGCACATGTGAACACATGTATATATGGGTATTTGTGTGCATATGTATATACATGTTTATGTGTGCTGCAGATACAGTACCCATACAATAAAGCACATTGGGGGAACAGTTATGGAGACTTGCTAGACATCCTTGTGGGGCTGGATTGCTGGATTAAAAGTCTCAGGCCCATCACATCCTGAGACAATTTGGTCAATTGGCCTGACAAGAACATAGTTCATACTGTTCCATACCCTAGTTTGGTAAGTAGCAGCTGGGTCTTTAAAATGAGAAGGGAAGGGAGGAGAAGCTAGAATAAGGAAGACAACAAACAAAATGAGAATGCTGATACATTGTGAAAACTGTAACCAAAGGCCTGGAACAGGTTGTATAAAAATGTTAAATGAAGGCTGAGCATGATAGTGGGACAAGAGGAAAGTAAAAGGAAATAGAGGAAAGAACTAGGAGGCAAAGGGCATTTATAGAGGTCTAAATACAGGCATGTACATATATTTATATATGACAATGGGGAAATAGATCTATGTGCATATATTTATAGGTTTAGTATTAAAGTAGCAGAAAGACATTGGGCCTCTACTCAAGTATTCCCTCAATGCAAGAACACTTTGTTCCATTAAACTGGCATTCCATGATGCTCACCTTCCCAACATGATCACTAAAAACAAAGTGGGTACATAAGCAAATGTGGTGAAGAAAGCTGATGGTGCCCGACTACCAAAAGATAGAGCATCTGGGGTCTTAAAGGCTTGAAGATAAACAAGCGGCCATCTAGTTGAGAAGCAACAAAGCCCACATGGAAGAAGCACACCAGCCCATGTGTGGGGGGAGGTAGATGCTAGCAGGCATCTCCCCTGAGGGCCATTAGTTGCCAAACTGCAGAGGGCCCTGCTCCCTGCTGCTAGGGACAAAGGACAGGCTCCTGTAGGAGGAGTTTGCACCCTACTGATAATGTTTCCTATGGAGACCGAAGGAACAGTTCAAAGTTAAGCTGCCATCCTAAATCTAGGATCCACCCATCTTGTCACATGTATACCCCAATCCCTCCTCTTCCTATTGTGTGTATGTCCCTAGACCACCCCCTCATTACTGTGTAGCCTATGGTGCAACCCCTTCCTGTGTCTTTACCTGTAATTAGTGGGCTGGCACGCCCCCAAAAGGTATATAAGCCTGGGTTAGCAATAGATCTCGCTCTGGCCTCACTCGCTGGGCTCCCCTCTCCTCTCTCCCTTGTTCTCCTTCCCTTCTCCCTCTCTCCACGTGGACCACCAGGCAGGGCTGAGGTGAGCAATGCTACTATGTAATGTGTCTGACTGCATTATTGTAATATCTCTCCTCTACCTCTCATGCTCTCGATGACTTTAATATAATATATACATCTCAATCATACAATTGTGCATTATTGAACCCAGGACTATTGGTGGGGGCTGCCCCCCCCTCACCATTCTCTAAATTAATACTATACCCATTTGATCACGAGGTGTCAGTAGGATCAGATATCAGGCATCAAAGAACAAAAAATCATATCGATGCGAATGAGAGGTAGTGCAGAGTGGAGACCCAAAGGCAACTGGACATCCACTTACAGAAGGGTCGCTGGGAGACAAGCCAGTCAGGGTGCAGTATAGCACAGCTTTCTTCTAGTTCTTTAATGCTTCCCTCCCCTGTCCCCCACTATCATGATCCCAATTCTACCTTACAACTCCGGCTACACCAGAGAATGTCCACTGGCACAGATAGAGCTGGAAACACAGGGAATCCAGGACTTTTTTTTTTAAACCCCTCAGGACCAATAATGAGAGTAGCGATACCAGGAGGGGAAGGGGAAGGAGAAAGGAGGAACTGATCACAATGATCTACATATAACCCCCTCCCTGGGGGATGGACAACAGAAAAGTGGGTGAAGGGAGACATCGGTCAGTGTGAGACATGAAAAAATAATAATTTATAAATTATCAGGGGTTCATGAGGGAGGGACGGTAGAGGAGGGATGGGGGAAAATGAGCTGATACCAAGGGCTCAAGTAGAAAGCAAAAGTTTTGAGAATGACGATGACAACAAATGTACAAATGTGCTTGACACATGAATGCATGTATGGTTTGTGATAAGAGCTGTAGGAGTCCCCAATAAAATGATTATTAAACTGGACATATATATAATTTTTTTTAAAGGAAGTAGTGAAAACATATTTAATAGGAATCCTGGAGGTTGAAAATAGAACGGCAAACAAGAAAACCAAACTCACTGCCATTCAGTCAATTCTAACTCATAACAACCCTATAGGACACAGAACTGCCCTGTGGGTTTCTGAGACTGTAAACCTCTGCGCGAGCAGAGAGCCTTCCCCTTTCTTCTGTGGTGTGACTGACTGGTGGTTTCAAATTCGCTGACCCTTTCATTGGCAGCCCACTTCATGACCCACTTCTTAAATTCATGCCACTCCTTAAAGGAATGGCAGGAAATATGTGTAAAGGAAAACAGCCGAAAAATTCCCAGGATTGAAATTAGAGAATAATTTTTGAATTAATTAAAGGATATCCTGAATAAAAAGTATATAAAACCCAGAGTAGTAATAACTATAGCACATTAAGAATAAGAGAAGAATGTTAAAATACACAGAGACTCTCTACAAATGAACAATTCAACTAACTGTGGTTACCTTCTGATAAATAACGAGTCCAAAAGAGAAAAATCTTTAAAATACTGAGAAAAAAATAATTTCCAATCTAGATTTAAAACCTGATACCCTTGAGGAATGAGTGTTTTGTTTTGTTTTTAAGCATTTTATTAGGGGCTCATACAACTGTTACCGCAATCCATACACACATCAATTGTGTAAAGCGCATTTGTACATCATTCTCAAAACATTTTCTCTCCACTTAAACCCCCGACATTAGGTCCTCATTTTTCCCCTCCCCCGAGGAATGAGTGTTTATGACCTCCCAGGCATGTACTTAGGAGATTTAAAGAACTGCCTGCAACTGACTTAACTTGATGTACAATGAAGTTGGGGTTGGCAAACTAGTGTTATCACTTTAAATAACTAGTCATTGTATGTAATCTCTTTCAATTAACTTTATTGATAGCCAAATCAATAAGTTAGCACAGATCAAATGATTATTTGCATGGGTTACAAATGACTCTTTAACAGGAAGAAAACAGTGAAAATTACAAACAGTAAAAAGGGGGACAAATCTTGTCTCTTCACATTTTAGAGATGCAAGATTGAACACAACACATTGAAAATCAATACATTTGAATTTGAGAACAAGAATTGAATGTTACAATATTATACACTACTTTACAAAATTAAAATTTCTATATAAGGATTATATTGGTAATAGTTAACAAAATCTTAAAATCACATTTGGTGGTCCCCTAGATAATAGCTGTTATGCATCTTTGATTAGAAGAAATAAATCTTTTCTAATTATTGCAAAACAGTCTACTAGACTCAATACATTATATTAAATTAAAAACAAATAAAGTATATGCAAACTAAATAGTACTGCTTGGATGGATATTAGTATGTCAGACGTACAGAAATGTTACTTTAAAAATCTTAGAAATTAGAAAAATAGAGTACTTTTTATGGTAGAACTGTCATGCTCAGATTTAAATACCAAGATTGCCCTTGTCTGTTACTTTAGTAGTTGTAGATCTGTAGAAAATTCAAGGACCTTTCATGATAATTTACAACTATAATAAAAAAAATATGGCATATTGTAAATATTAGTTACTTTACATCAAAAAAGTAATACAAGAAGAGACAGGAGCTAGTGCCCCACTGCCCCTGTCCCTCAAAAGAAAATCAAACAAAAAAACCCCACATTCAATATTGTGAAAAAAATAATTGCTTTAATATCAATATCCCTAAAAGGTTCTTTCATTCCCTCATTCCCTCATAATCTGGAGATGAAGAGAAAATTATTGTAAAGGTAAAGACTTTTTAAATGAACTGGTTGTTACAAAATTATTTTGATTGCACATGTTATGCAATATTTAAAATAAACTTTAAAGTAAGTTTGTGAAGTATGCTGACAAAGCTTATGGTAATTACAAGAGTCGACCCATGAAGGGATGTAGTGAGGCACAAGAAAGATTACTGTCCCTAGAAGCATGAATTTTTCTTCTGGAAGATCCTTTACTGTTAAGGACTTATGAATACCAACATTTAAAATTCACATTAATAAGATAATTTGTTATTTTAAGAAACATCAGTGCATAATAGTGACTTTCAGTTTCTTTAAAAGGGGAAAATAGAAATTTAATTTGTTACCATTTGAAATTTGCTTCTTAATAAAAGAAACCTTGTCATTTAATGCACAATGTATAAACTGAAAACAAACATTAACACTGCTTCATGGAGATGATATGCTTATAAAACACAGTTATTCTTGATCCACCAGTGGTGGTGGGATGTTCTCGAAGGACCTTCTTTACTATCCCAAAAACTTCAGTTGAAGTTTGCTCAGATTGAAATGAACCTGAAAGTTACTATTTCATTGGTAATCATGTGAGACCAAGATTGTAAACATTTTCTGACCCAGTAAAACAATTTTTTTCATCCAGTTATATACATGAAGGTCTTTTACTTTAAGAAGTTCATACCAAACAGAATCTGTGAAAATGGAGCCAAATTTCCTGAAGACACTAGATCACACCATTTTAAATATACAGATACATAATTTACATATTCATAAACAAAATTTGCTTAAAAGTTCTGACTATAATATTCTCCTTGCTGAATCAAAAGCGCAGCCTCTTGAGCTGTTCAGAAATCAAGTTTCTTTCATAACTTCAGGTCTGTTTGACTTTAATAGCCACCAAATCAAATAGCAGCATTCATGCTTTTATAGGTTTCTCCATCCAAGAGTAAACATTTCTTAGGAGCAAATTCCAATTTGATTATTAAATTCCTTAGAAAAATGGTACTGATGCATTTGAGACAGCATTTAAGAAACCTTCCATTTCTTTCAATCATCTTCATTTCATCAAAATAACACTTTTATTATACATCACAGGGCAGAAATATACCAAACAATGCCCACCTAATGAATCGGGATAATTAGTTTCCCATCTCCCTGTCTATCACTGCCCAGTTCCAGGATGCCTATGAAGACAGCTCTGAGTCTTTCACTGCAGAGTACAACAGAGTCTCTAAGCAATCTGAGGCAGATGAGAAAACCACTCAGCTTTTACTACTGACTGTAGTCACTTTGTTCAAGTACAGGGAATACTGATGTATTTTAAAGCTTGAATGTATTCATATTCTTCTTAAGCTTGTTAGTTCACTCTTGTTTTAGAAAACATGATCCTTTTCCTTCCTTAAAAAAAAGAAAAAATAGGTATGGGGGAAATATAGTTTTTTTACAATTTATTCTTTTCTAAAGTTTTTTAAAAGATCATTTTCAATAGATTTATAACTTCTCTGCAACACTTAGTCTTGTGAGGTTTAAAATGTAGCAGCAAAAAATTCAGAAATTAAAAAAATGACAAATATGTATTTTGAACACAGAAGCCTTTATTAAAAAAGTTCTTTGCCTCTGCAATACTGTCTCATCTTATTTCAATTCATAACAATGAAAACATAATTGGCAACAAAAGAAAAATGGATCTAATAATATGTAGATATATTCTGAGTTGAAGAATACAGTATTTGGGGTTGCATGTTTCATTCTCTGCTGTGGTCTTTTATTTGCTATAGTTTGTTGAAGTCACCGTGAGAATATCTTAACCTTTTCATGACCAAATTATTTTCTACTTTGAATTATTGTTGAGACCATGTGTTTTCAGTATGCTGAAATCAAAGGGAAAACTTCTTTGTGTTGTTGCGGTAATAGGGATTCTGATACAGTGATGCGGGACATGTACATCCCAAAGGGACTCTGGTGATAGGACCGATGGGGGAAGACAGTTTCTTCAGATGCACGCAGTTTTACCAGTGCCCACAAGGCGGCAGCATGTACTACAATTGGGATAGCAGCTTCCCAAAAAACCTGAGAGGCTGAAAAAGCTGGTGGACAATATATGTCCCACAGGTCAGAAAAGGGTTAATCATCACATTAGTTCAAAAGCCTAATAGAAAAGGAAGATGTTCCAGATTCTCATATGCTCCATCAAATTTCTTCATTTGCTCATTTATTTACTTGTTGTTGTATATGCAAAAGGAATTCATAATACGATAATGCAGACTCTGTTCTGTCTTCTACCATGTATTGAAGGAAAGTTGCCTTCATTGGACTCTCATCCCTTAGGAATAAAAGGTAAAAATATTTATATACATTAGATAAGTTAGTAATTAAAACAAAGGTTTGTCATGAAGCTTTTGATATACTCTGATAACAATCATAACATATAACACACAAATAGCTACTACTTTCTCATGTTTTCTCTGAGAATACCTGGGAGATAATGATAACTTTATGTTACATAGGAGGTAAAAGTTCAGAGTGGAATTAGAATTAGTTAAGCTTTTTACCAACAAGTTCATTAAAATCTGAGGAAATTCAATACTTGTGTATAAAGCAAAATTTAGTACTTTCTATTAGAAGAATCTTTTTCATTTTTAAAGAGTTTACTTAAGCAATAATTCTCATATATATTTAATTCCAAACAGGTCCTTTTCCAGGATAAACTACTGGGAAATGAAAACTCCAACCTACCTTATTACATATAGTATTGGGAAAAATGGTCTTTGTTCTCTAAGCCAAGAGATGAAAGCTATTGTTCTGGCAGATTCTGGTGTATTAAGTTCTGGAAGATCAGTCTGTTAAATGAAAAACAAGAATATCCAATT